TTTTTTTTTTTTTTTGGTCTATTTCTGATTTCATGAAATTATTTAAACTTATTTTAACACCTCTTGTTGAGACCTAATCCAAAACCTGATTTTACCGATCTTCAAGAGCGCATTATACTATACTAGATTAGACAACAAACCTGCGAATTGCATTTTACCAAACCAACTTGGAATATGTTCTATTTGTTACCAAAAGTTAACACTATCCAATGATAAAAATTAGACAATCCAACTTTACATTATCCAGTGATAAAAATTAGACAATCAATGTATGAATTGCATCTTACCCAACCAACTACAAATATGAGTTGTTATCAAAATTAAAACACTAATATCGGATAATGCATCGGGTCGATCAGACCCCAGAAACAGTAAGATCGAATTGGACAGATTTGTAGGTCGAAAACGGACCCGAGAAATAGTAGGACCGTAACAACCACTGCCACACCCCTTTTACTTAATGCATAAAATATTCTATAATAGACAACTATATATATATATACTAGAAGGCTGCACAGCCGGCCCAAATTAGGTAGACATTTGTTGTATATGAAATTGTGCAGAGTTAAATACAGTAAGAGCATAACCTTACATGTGCAAAATTTAAGTCCATAACATGAGCGTATTAAAAAGTCATAGTAACAAGTAAGCAATACAAAAATACACCAAGTTTGCATTATCAAGAGCATCTATATGTAAATAGATTCTTGGAATTCTAGGTACCATAAGCGGCAAACACAACAGTTTAGCTTGCATGGCATATATGTCACTAAGCAACTACAAAATGCAGCAACATCTATATGTGAATTGATGGCTTAAATGTTGGGGAATGCAGATACAAAATACAAAAGATATGTTCCATGGCACTTGTGCCTTCCAAAAGTTCAAAAGTGCAGTTACACAGGAGCTAGTCCATTTTTGGGCGACTTTACTTCGTCGGGCTTGCAGTACACATTGTATGGGGTTCAAGTGTTCGTTGGCTGGATGATTCGGGAATTTGGGCGCATGTGGTGTTGTTTCTTGAGGTGAACGATTACTGATTATCAATGTTGATGCGTTTTTTGACCGATGACTCTGAAGATGTCATTGTTGTAGTTTTTTCATGTGGTGGGGTGAGGGGGTCGAGAACATTTTTTAGTGTTGGGTTGAAGAGCTCTTTTCTTGTTACATGTTCTGTGATAGTAGATTAGGTGAATGAATCTATTTACTGAATAATAAATTTGAGGATTTTTTATGTGTATTAGTCGACATTGTACCTTGTTTGAAGTCGAGGCTGATGCTTCGTTTGCTAAGTCTTTAGGCTGATGAAGCATTGATGAAGCATACGACACGACGTCCGTGCATTGCTACTGTAATCTGAGCAGTTAAATCCACACCATGTGTACAAAAGAAATAAAATGCATTTTATAATAGCTAAATAAAGGGAAGAGAAGAAGGTGAAAGCCCAAAACCAATAATCTGTTTTTGGAAAGAGAAGAAGGTGAAACGCGTACTCTACACGGTGGTCGTTACCACTGTGTGTCCAATAATGGTCGTCCAGAGGGAATAAAGTGGAGCAATCGAAATGAAGCCATCCGAACGGTGTAACGTTGAACGCATGAATCGAGAGAGGCCATATATGTGTGTCTCGGAGAGATGGTAACCATGCATGCATAAACTCGACGTAGACACACGTACACGTGAAAGCGCAAAAATCTGGCCTCTTAGTCCTTGTCGATGCTCACCATGATATGACACAACTAACTCCGCTTGTATACAACGAATAATCGATTATCGGCGTTTGCCGTAAGTAGGTACCTACAAACTCACAATCCCGGCAAAAACACAAATATATGTGGCACGCTCGGCAAGATGTGCCTAAAACGCACAAGTCTAACCCACATATCTCAATACGACTACTCCGACAAGAGTAGGAATCCAAGCACAACGAATATAATGAGAGTACGAAAGTACAAAAAACTTTAAAATCTTATAAACGATTATCGTTGTCACTGTTTTGTGACCCGGACCGGACCGGCGAGTCAACCCGGAGCCAAAACTGGTTCGAGTGAGCTATTTAGACCGGGTAACAATGGACTCGGTCAAAACTCGGCCAATCCGGCCTTGACCCGGTCGACTCGGGTCATTGACCCGGTCTCTATAAATTTTTTATTTTTTTAATATTTTTTATATAACAAATAAAAAAATGTTTATATAATGACCTAGTAAATATTTATTGTGAGATTCAATATTATTATTATTAACACTTAAATGTACAAATTTTGTATACAGAAGATTTATTTTTGTTACTTTTATGTATATTTATATGTCAAAAATACTATATATATAATTTTACAATTTTTAAAATTAATTATCCGGTTCAACAATTGACTCGGTGACCGGAGGTTGAATCGGTGCCCCGGTGACCTGCCCGGGTCGATTTCTGAGCCGAGTTTAAAAACTATGGTCGTTGTAACAAGAATAGTCGCCTGATGAGTAAGTATTGTTTTCAGGCAGTTGACAACACTTTACGAGCCTTAATGCAAGTAGTGGATCCATGAGGAAAAATCTCCCTTTTGACGGCAAGTCTGTTGTATTTGGTGGCGATTTCAGACAGATTCTCCCTGTTCTGCCTAAAGGCACTCGGAGTGGCATAGTGAATGCGACCATCAATTCGTCCAGCTTATGACGAGTTGTATCGTTCTGAAACTTACTCAGAACATGAGGCTTCGAAGCCTTGGTTGGGCCGGTGAGTACGATAAGTTAAGGCTTTTCTAGGAGTGGCTTGCAAGCATTGACGACGGTACTGCCGGTGGACCGAACGATGGATGTGCTGACATCGACATTCCCGACGATATTCTTTTGAAATCACAAGGTGATCCTATCGCTTTTATTGTTGAGAGTACGTACCCAATGTTTAGGAGTTCGGGCGACGATCTTAGCTACTTGAAGGACAGAGTTATACTCGCTCCCACCCTTGATGTTGTTGAGTCCGTCAATGAGTACATGAGCTCATTGAACTCCTCCGAGGGAAGAACTTATTTGAGTTCGGACACCGTTTGCAAGTCAGATGTTGGATATGACTATATTTAGGATCTTCATACTCCTGAATTTCTCAATGGGATTAAGTGCTCTGGACTTCCCAACCATAAATTGCACTTGAAGGTTGACACTCCTGTGATGCTCCTCATAATTATTGATCACTCTATGGGGTTGTGCAATGGTAATGTTGATTAAAATTCGATATATTGTCTATATTTTATTTCATTTTATGTACAAATTCGAGTGATTTGCTTTTGTTGTCCAAAATTTGATTTAGGTACCCGATTGGTTATTACTAAGCTCAACAACTATGTCTTAAAATGCATAATTCTAACCGGTGTTGTAGCTGGTGATAAGGTTCTTATTCCTAGGCTTACAATCATACCATCCGATTTGAGGGTACCATTCAAGTTTCAGTGCAGACAGTTCCCTCTCATGGTTTCCTATGCTATGACAATCAATAAGAGTAAAGGCCAGTCACTGTCGCACGTCGGCTTATTATTGAAGAGCCCTGTATTTAGTCATAGGCAATTATACGTGGTGCTTTCTAGAGTAACGAGTCGGAGGTGTTTGAAGATTCTTATTTGTGCTGATTGAGATTCTGACGGTAATAAAATCACGAACGTTGTATATAAGGAAGTGTTTAATAATATTTAGATTTCTTTTTCTGGACTTTTATCAAGTGATTTTGTTATTATTTTTCCTATTGTTTACGATTTATTTTATTTTTTTCCTCTATCACTAAGCTTTCGTAGAAAAAAAAAAAAAATTGTTAGCTTTCCGTGCAAATGCACGGGTTGCAACTAGTATATATAATTGCTGACCTGTAGCATTTAATAAAACCTATTTAATAAAACATCTAAAATTTTCCCTCCATTGATTTTATCATTAATATTTTTTTACTTCTCACATTAATTCATTCTATTAATTGTAATCATGTATGTTCCTATTATATTATATAATAGTTATTGCTAATACCAATAAATATAAATTACATAATTATAAACAATTATTTCAAGTTATTTATTATAACATCAATAATATCTTTTTCTTTTGTATCTCATGAAAAAAAAAAATTAAAACACAATTAGTAAATTATTTTAAAAGCATAGTCAAACAACTTTAGAATCTTATAAATAATTATTTTTTAATAATAATAATAATAACAATAATAATAATAATATATAATTGAGAGCTTAGCATTTAATTTTACCTATTTAATAAAACTTCTAAAATTTTCCCTCTATTTTAGGTACAAAATTTATCATTAATATTCTTTTACTTCTCATCTTAAAGATTGGAATATCTCCAAAGATTTAGCGGTGGATAGGAGCGCTTGGAGACTAGCGATCAACGTGCCAGAACCGTGACTTTTGCTCCTTTCTCTTTTGCTCCAATTTTTTTTTTTTTTTACTACTGTTTCTATTGGGTTTCATCTCTAGCCTACCCCAACTTGTTTGGGACTAAAAGGCTTTGTTGTTGTTGTTGTTGTTGTATTCTTTTACTTCTCATATTAATACATCCTATTAAGTGTAATAATGTATTTTCTATTTATATTATAAATAGTTATTACTAATACCAA